CCCCAAAACCCCAAAACCCCAAAACCCCTTTGCTTGTGAAAGGGGTTGAAAGTAATTAGAAACTGTTTGGAAATTATTGATGGAAATTTGAGTTAAAATTTAGGTATTTTATAGGGTTTCTATAATTCGAGACTATCAGGGCCAAATAAATCAGGTAAGTGATCCCATTTTTTGGTATTTTTATGATTCCAGTAACCTCCTTTGTAAATGTAACTAGCAAAATCATCATTCACCGAATCAGGATCCTCTACAAAATACAGTGGCTTGGGTATAAATTTCTCTTTCTGGTGTCTTTTTCTCCTCCTTCTCTGCTTTTCTTCAAGTCTAAATTTTTCTTCTCCTGCTTTCTCAAGGTCTCCTTTTTCAAGATATGCTTGATCTAATCTAAACCGAGAGTCTGTTGGGGGCAAATGTTCTTTCATTTCCTCTGTCAGCATGTTCAACTTCAGAGTGAAGTCAGTAAATCTATAATTCTCGTCCCAATTTTCAGGTTGTTGAGGGAATTCCCACAATTTTATACTATCGCAGTCAGATTTGACAGATTTGTAGTTTATTTCTCTAGTACAATTGCCAAATATTTCATAGACTTTTCTTCCTAGTGAATCATAGACTTCTCCACTGATTTTTCCTATCTTCTGAAGATTCCCAAAAAGACCTAACTTATGGAACTTTATTTTGACCGAGGGTGTCTCTGAAAAACTTGGTGAGCTATATAATTTTATAGGTGAGATGAAAGAGATTCCTTACTCCATTGTTATCTTCATCTCTCCGTTGTGGTCAAGGTACTTATGTCCTATAAGGAACCCATGTAGATATGTGCTTGGCCTAGTACATGTCAGTACTTCCTCAGTAGAGTTAATCTTAAATTTTGTTACTCCAAGAGGCTTGAATTCTATACTTTTACCCCAAAATTTGGATTTCACATGTGTATTTGTCCAGAAAGAATAATCTTCATGTATAACATGACAAGCAGAAATAGGGGGATGATGACTCACTTGCTCTGCAATAAACTTCCACTTCGGTGTTGCAAACTCGAATGTTTCTCCTAGAATCGGATTGAAGGGCTTTGATAGCCTTTCATGAGATCCAGCATACTGGGCAATACAAAATGCAGCATAGTATACCATCCGAAGTTCCGGAGTTTCTTGTCATGAAGCTTTAGAAAGTAAAAAATCATTTTGCATTGGCTCTCAAACTCTCTGCAACATCGATATTGGTTCATTGAAATATACAGGCACAGCAAAATGTCCAAGGTCTTTCCCAATACAATCCTTGAGTATTCTAAATATATTTGTAGACACTTTTGGCTTGGGAACAGGAAGTCCATCTCTGGATAGCTCACTATTCCAAATTTGGCAGTTATCAGAGCTAATCTTAACTAATTCATTAGGAGACTTCTCATGAGACTTCTTCTTGCGTGAGATTAAAACCTTTTCTTCTTCATATTTATTTTGAGTTTCAGCAAGTTCTTCTAGAGCATCATGGAAATTTTCTAAGTCATTTGAATCAAAGCTTTTACTATCAACACTCTCTCCACCAAAGAGTCCGGAATGGGAATAATTGGGTTTAGCATATTTCTTCATGTTAGAAGCACCGAATTGGTCAAGACAGAGTCTGTGGATATCAGTCAGCATCCATTCTAGATGATTTGCCATATTGTCAAATTTATTAAGGCATTTACTGTGCTTTAGTTCTTTAAGAGTCAGAATTGTATCTTGGCATATACTGACCTTAGAATTAAGAGCATGGAGGAATTCAGATTCTGAAAGAGGGCTATCATTGCAACCTGATTTTTCTTCTTCATAGTAAAGTTCATCCTCAACACTAATATCAGCAGTATATTGAGATCCTCTTCTACCTCTATCTTCCACATGCTCTTTTGTATCCTCACGATCATTCTTAGTATTCTATTTCAACTTAAAACCACTTCTACAATAGCTAAAATACCAAAAAGTATAGAATTACAATATCTACTCAAATTCTTGACTATAACTCTACTATCTCTACAAAAAACTCTAAAACTATACCTTCCTACTATCCCCCACTACCGTCTTATTTCTCTTCCACATCTTATCACCCATCCCTCTTTTCTTCCCTCTCTTCTTCCGTTCTTTCTCTCTAATAGCTTCTCTTCAATGTATCATCAACATTTCCCTGATTAATATTCACTTAAATAATAGTAATGTTCTATAAATATTACCTCATTTGGGGTTTTGGGGTTTTGGGGTTTTGGGGTTTTGGGG